TGACCAGGAGGTGAAAAAGAGGGGGCAGTTGAGTCTGGCCAAGCCTTTGTGGGTTTGGAGAGTGGTCGAGGGGCAGGATGGAGAGAAAAGGCTTTAGGGTGCCTCGATGCCCTTGGGGTGCGGCATTGCAGGGGGCTCTACAGGGGGAAGGGAGCCTGGGGATGGCACCTGCCTTTGCTCCTTGAAGGGATGTGGACCCTCTGGATTCCTCCGGATTTTATTCATTTGGGAACAGAGGTGGGGAGTGGTTTTCTTCTGCCCGGTGCCATTTGGCTACTGATAACATCATTTGTGGCCTGTACTGTCAAACGCTGCATTACTCTCCCTCCTCACCCCCCAAGTGTGAGGGGTGGGACTTCTTCTCTTTGGGGAGGTGTGGGACTTTAGCTGGTAGGGATGACTTCATCGGTGTTCCCACCCCTGATTTAGGAAGTAAGTGCCTGCTCGCATCTTTGGGTGCATGTTCCGGCTTGTATTGTGCTGACTTGGGCGTGTGTTCCCTCCCGGCCCTCGGAGCAGTTGGAATGAGCTCTTTCTCTCCCGATTTCAGTGCATCCACCGAGACCTAGCAGCCAGAAATGTCCTGGTCACAGAGAGTAACGTGATGAAAATAGCAGACTTTGGACTGGCCAGAGACATCAACAACATAGACTACTACAAAAAGACCACCAACGTAAGTCTGCTGGGGGCAGGCGGGGTGGGCCGGGCGTTCCCTGGCTTCCTCCGACCTTCATTTCCAGAGCCCTCGTGGCATAGTGGTTATGCACTGCACTATGAACCACAAGGTTAGCAGTTCAAAACCACCAGCCCCTCCTTGGGAGACACACAGGCTTTCTACTCCTGTTAACAATGATAGCCTTGGAAACCCACCGGGACAGTTCTACCCTGTCTTACAGGGTCACTGTGAGTCAGAATCAACTCGAAGGCGGTGAGTTTGGTTTGGAGTTTGGCTTTATTACCTGTAGTCATCGCAGTAAGCAGTTGTGGGCTGCCTGTTTTCAGGCTTTGATACCCATGGGCACTAACCAAGCCCAGAGTGCTGCCCAGCCCGTGGGCAGCATCATGACGTGGCTGTCCCCGAGCCCACAGCTGCGCGGTGCTTCCTGGGATCCACACTCTACCAACAATAGCCTCGTGCCCTTACAGGACTTTTCTTGGCTAATTTCTCATAAGCAGATTGCCAGGTCTTGCCCCCCAGTCTATCATAGTCAGGAAGTTCCACTGAAACCAGTCTGCCGTGATAATCCTGCTGGTATTTTAAACACCAGTGTATGGCAGCATCCCTCCAGCATTCTGCGATGTACAAGCCACCCCAGGACAGCAATCGGACAGCCAGGTGTGGAGGCCTCTAATTTCGGGTACCACAGGTGAAGCATTCTTGCATATGTAACTGTTGGCAGCCTCTGCTGTGTCCGTAGAGTTGTTGGCAGGGGGGCTTCCACAGCCAAGACTAAGACCTTGAGGGCTACTTGGCTCCTGTTTTCCCTGAGTAGTAGGTCAGGGTGTGCCTGAGCTGCACAGACAAAGGGCCATGAAAACACTGGGTGATCACTTTTCCTGGCTGTGCGGAGGCCTGCATACCTTGCCCGTCGTTTGCAGCCTCAGGAGCTTCTCTCTGCCTTACTGAGGGACCTCTAAAAGCCATCCGGTGACAAGTCTGCCAATAATCAAGCCAATAATCAATCCTGTTTGGGAGATGCCCTCGTGGCCCAGTGGCCAAGCACTTGACCGTCGGGCTCCGTGGAGATGACAGCCTTGGAAGTCCTCCGTCCCCTGCAGTTGCTATGAGTTGTTTCCCACGCTGGCCACAGTTTAGGGGAGCTTCTTTCTGCTAAGGAGCCTGGTAACGTAGTGGTTATGTGTTGGGTTGCTAACCACAAGGTATGCAGTTCTAAAACACCATCTGCTCCTTGGGAGAAAGATGGGGCTTTCTACTCCGTAAAGAGTGACAATCGCAGGAACCCATTAGAATCTACCCAGTCCTGTAGGGTCGGAAGGGACCCGGAGGACATGGGTTTTTTCCTTCTGTTTGATTGGATCAATCAAACCCATTAGGATGATGGCACTTTCTTTTTTTTTTTTTTTAAGCAAAAGAGAAGAAATTTATTGGAGCCCATATGGGAAACCCTAGAGGGGCCCAGCACACCCTCCTGTGTAGGCAGGCCCAGCAAAGGATCATACCATTCACTGTACCCCCATGTCCCAGAGGGACTCCCCTTGAGCTGAGCCCCAAAGCCCCAGGACTGGCTGGGGGTGGGGATGTGGACGACGGCACTTTCGGGCCAGAGCCCCGTTGTGCCTGCTGGGTAAGCTCCTTGCTAATCTATTGCCTGTTGCCCGTGTATTTCCACACTTTCAGGGGCGGCTCCCAGTCAAGTGGATGGCCCCCGAAGCCCTCTTCGATAGAGTCTACACCCATCAGAGTGATGTGTAAGTGACTCCCTTTGCCTGTTTCTTCATCAGGCTGAGCTGTGAAAGCCTTGTTCCCATTCGGTCTTCCTTCGGCCTCTGGGACCCCTGGTAGGGGTCACAGAGGTTCTGGGCGGCCTCAGAAAGGCCGGATTTTATGGAAGGCTGGCACCCAATGCTCTGTTACTAATCTGCCTGGCTCCGAAACCACGGGAGGAGGGCCGGCGAGCCGGCTCCTGCCAGAGCAGACATGGCCCTCCCGTCCAGACGGATGTGTGTGGCTACAGAGCAGCCCTCGAATTTACAGATGGGTGGCATGTTCTTAGAAAAGACATCCTGACACCAGGCCTATGCTGATGGAAGTCTGTTGTACTTGTACTTCTCCACGCTCAGTGATGTTAGGAATTGGGCTGTAAACGGAAAGGTCAGCAGGTTTAAAGGACCGTGGGAGCAAGATGAGTCTGCCGACTCCCATAAAGAGTCACAGTCTTGGCAGCCCATAGGGTCACTGTGAGTTGGAATTAAACCGATGGTAGTGAGCGAGAGTCTTGGTTTGAACGTCAGGGGCCAAACAGACTCGAAACTTGGTCCACACTGCTGATTTCTACAGGGCCCTCGGCCTGTGTTGGCCCTTCGGGCCCCAACTCGGTGTCCGCAACAGCCTTGGGAAGATAGAGCTGTGATTCTATCACAGAGCACTGATAGGCTAGTGGCTTCCATTGGACATTGGGGTGAACGATGTCCCCATTGGGGGCATGCTGACTTGAGGCACCTGGTGCCCCTCTTTATATTATGGCCCCACAGTTTGTAGACAGGATGAAAGAAGGAGGTTAAGAAAATGTTGGTTGCAGAACCGTTTTGATTCAATAGGCCTAGATCCCTGGTGTCATAGTGGATGACACTGTTGGGCAGCTCACCACAAGGTCAGCAGTTCGAACCCATCAGATGCTCCGTTGGAGAAAGACAAGGCTTTCTGCTCCCATCGAGGTTTACTGTACGGGAAACCCAAAGGGGCGATTCTGCTCTGGCTGCTCGGGTGGCGATGGGTCAGAATCCACTCGTCAGCCGGGAATGAGATCTCAGAAGACAGTGCTGTGGTTCTTGTGATTGGAATGGGTAAACTGAGGCACAGAGGCTATGTCTGCCTGCCTCTCCTGTGGTGCTGTGGTTGCATGATGGTTGCTAACTGCAAGACCAGCAGTTCTAAACCACAGACCTTCTGCTGGAGAGAAAGAAGGATTTCTGCTCCCGTAAAGAATGTCAGTCTCGGGAACGCCTAGGGGCAGTTCTGCCCTGTCCTTTAGTTTCACTAGGATCCATTTCGACTCGATGGCAATGACTTTGTGGTGTTCTCCTGCTCTGTAGAGAATCGAGGACAGCTCTTCTCTCAGTCCACCAGAATGCTAGGGGCTGTCAAGTCAATTTTTGGCACGCAGCAGCTTCAGGTGACAGAATAGAGCTGCCCCCGTGGGCTTTTCTTAGACTAGAATCTTTGCGGGAGGGAGCCCTGGGGCAGCTGTGGACTGCTAAACTGCAAGGCTTGCTGTTCAAACCCACCAGCTGCTCTCAAGGAGAAAGATGAGGCCGTCTGTTTCCTTATGGATTCATAGTCTCAGAAACCCTGGGTAGGGATGCTCTGCGTTAGAAACGACTGATGGTCGTAGGGAGAGGTTTTAAAGAACCTTCAAGGGAGCAGATGTTCTGGGAGCCCCGGGTGGGTTGGAATCACCAGCTTTTCCGTGCATAGCCAAGCACTTCACCATAGCACTACCTGGGCTCCCTGATACATCGTGTGGGCTTCCAGAGTGTGGAACTCCGTGCCTGCAGTGCCCGAGGGAGTGAATCCCCTTAACAAAGCCCAGAATGCCCCAGGCTTGTTTCTGGTGTATGAGAGTCCTCTGCCGAGGGACACCGATTCCACCACCTTAGGCCCACCCAGCCGTGATCACCGCTCTGGCTGTAGCCAGTTCCACTCACCTTTACGGGTGGTCACATGACCCCAAGTGGGGGCCACACAGGGTGAAGGGAGAATGGGACAGGAGCGGGTCCAGCTGGGCCTCTAAGAAGAGCCGCCTTTGCGGAAGTTGGGGCTGGGACTCGCCATTTGGAGCTCTGATGGGATATGGGGGCGGCGGGGGGCGGGCAGCAAGGCTTGCCACATCTGTCTTGAAAGGAGCAAGTGGTGAAGTGGTGTTTGCTTCCTGAACCGGGGGTACCCTCCCTAACACGGGTGTTTTCGCCTCTATGCAGCTGGTCCTTCGGGGTGTTGATGTGGGAGATCTTCACTCTGGGGGGCTCGCCCTACCCAGGGATCCCCGTGGAGGAGCTGTTTAAGCTGCTGAAGGAGGGGCACCGCATGGACAAGCCTGCCAACTGCACCAATGAGCTGTAAGAACCCCTAGCCCCACCCACCCCTCCTATCTCCACTCCTCGGGGGCCCCCTGAGCCCCAACTATCCAGACATGCACCGGATGAAGGATGGGTGGAGGTTTTCTGGGCTTGTACCCAAAAGGGAGGCAGATATGGACCCCGACAGCCATCCCTCTTCCGAAAGAGAGTCAAGCGGAGGCGGAAGGTGCAGCCTTTAACTCATGCAGGGCGTCTGGCTGCCCGTCAGAGGCACCTGGTCCCCCTCCCCACCTTGAGCTGGCCCATCTCCAGACTGTCAGGAAGATCTACGTGGCTGACCCTCAGACATGGGTCAGAGATTGCTGGGAGGGTGGGGTGCAGTGTGCTCCCTGCTAGGGTGTAGGACCAGTGACTCCCCCACCCTTGGTGTGGGGCCCAGCCTGAGCATGGCCAGCAGAGAATGGAGGTCTCCAGGAGCCTCGTTCTAACTTGCTATCAACCACCTATCCTGAGAGGGAATGAGTTAGTGCCTCCTTGTTAACATCCCACCCACATTTCACATCAGAGCCTGAAACCGAGCCCAGCTGCCATGCGCCCAATGCCAGGCTGCCTTCCAGAATAGTGAGACCCCATGCTAGGCGATGTGCTGTTGTGTGTGTGTGTGACCTGTGTCTTGTGCAGTAGCAGCAGTGCTTCATGAAGGATTTTGTCCGCTTTCCTGGGCCCCCATCCCACCCCCACTCATTTACCTCCCTCCCCCACGATTAATGAAGAAGAGAGATTGTCCCCAAGGCGGCAATGCCTATTGTGTGTCTTGGGTCATGGGGATTTTATATCCGTAATCCCGTGGGTGTTTTTGATGTAGAGTGGATGTTGGGTGAATGGCCAAGTTTAATAGTGTATGACATAAAGGTGCCCTTTGTCTTCCCTGACATTCCGATGGCCTCTTCCAGCAGAGAGGGGCTGTCGAAACCCATACTCAAGATAAGACCCGGGAGCGTCGGCTCGCCAAAGGGTTAATCCGGAAGTCCCTTGGGGACCTGGTGATGGGGAATTAATGCATCCAAACCGCACCTTGGAATTGTACCCTCCAAGCTTTGTTTGGGCGCTGGTTTTGAAATGGAGGAGCCTTTCCTTTAAGATCTCAACAACCAAACCCAGTGTGTCCGACTGCTAAGGTGGAAGGGCTTCAATTGACATTGGGGTGCGGGGTGTTGACCTGAGGCCAGCCTGCTGAGATCTTCCCCACACCCCACTTTATGGTTATATTTGCTTTATTTTGGTGGTCTGGAGGAAACCCACTCTGTCTGCAAGATAGGCCCATCTTACCTTGAGGATTCCGCAGTGGGACCTATTTATTGGGTCACCCCTCCCCTTGCTGAAGGCAGGGGAGGTAGCACATTTACTGAGAAAGAGGCGCTGGGCAGGTGCGTGGTGTGGGTGTTATGGAATACCAGGACCCCCGTTGCCAGACGTACAGGGCTTGCTCAGATCTTGGCTCTTCCCGTCACCTCCCAACTTGCCCAAAAGGTGTGGGTGTGTGGATCCCATTGAGAGAGGTCACCCTGGGTCCAAGATACCGGAAGTCAACCGACACGCCTTTCTTCAAGGGCAGAGGGCCACCCCTAAGGAGTTTTGTGTAAAGCGATGTTTTTGTGGATCAGAGCGCTTTTCAGAGGAACTAGCAGCGAATCTTTAGGGGATCTTGGCTTGGGAAGTTCTGGTACTTTTTGTGGTGCTGAGCACGCCCCCATACGGTGTGCTAAACCTGGTGAGAGTCGCATGCCAGCTCCAGAGGGGACCCACTTCCAGTCGGGGACTCACTTGGGCCACTGTCCGTCTTGTCCCAGGTACATGATGATGCGAGACTGCTGGCATGCAGCGCCCTCCCAGAGACCCACCTTCAAGCAGTTGGTGGAAGACCTGGATCGGATTCTCACACTCACCACCACCGAGGTAAGAAAGGACAGGCCTTGGGAGGTACCCTCCCCGGGGTGGGGTCTGTGGTGGGGTTTTCTCATTTCCCCCTGGGGTCAGTTAAACTGTGTGTTCCTTTCAATGCCCAATGTCCTCAGAACTGTGCTGTGTGGGTTCTGACAGGGTGTGCAGGGGTACACTGCTCTGCGGGCAGGGGGTGGGGGCAGAAACAGGCAGGCACAGCAGTTGGGCTTATGTGGGGAGGAGCAGGGCGCCTGCGCCCTGGCTCCGAGTGTGAAAGCCGCTGCAGCTTCACCAGACTGGGAACCAGACATTGTAAGCTCAGTCTCCATAAACCATGGCAATGCCCCCACAAGACTTCCGGGTGATAAAGGATGTGGCCTATGGTCATATGCGCTGTCTGTCTCTCACCCACACTCTCTCTCCAATAAAATTCACTGCCATCAAGTCGGTGCTGACTCATAATGGCCCCGTGGCACAGGGTAGAATTGTTCAGGTGCGTTTCCAAGATTGTAATTCTTCATGGGAGTAGAGAGCCTTTACCTTCCTGCCGAAACACACCCATTTCAGTGGCTGCTCCAGCAAGCCTTTATGGATAGGGAAAGAGGTGCCCCAAAGGGGGTCCCCGGGCAGTGTGGCAGTGCACAGGGTGGATGTGCTCAGCTGCTAACCGGAAGGTGGAAGGGTTCCCCAGAAGAAAGGGCTGGCGATTTACTTCAAACACCGGTCAGTGAAATCCCTCTGGTTTCTCCGGACTTGTACGGGGCCGGCCTGAGTCGGCATGAACTAATAGTAGGGATGGCACTCTCAGTGTTGCCTGGACCAGTAGGCCCGCACGGAAGAGACCCTCACTGGTGAAGGAAACGGAGGGATTAGTGGTGATCAGCCTGCTGTCAAACAGAAAAGACAACCCCCACACCCCCACACGAAACAAGAGTTGTTACCCTGACAAGAGGCATGACAGCACAACCCCCCAAGATTCGAGAAGTGGCAGACTTTCCATTTCTGATTGAGAGAAAAGAGAAAGAGCGCTTAATTTGGCCATAGGAAACTCAGCCGGGAATTGTATCTGGTGAGTCCCACCGGCTGGTGCTGGGACCAGGGGAGGATGCCTTCCACTGAGCACAGCCGACCTTCGGAAGTTGAAAGGGAAGGGACCTTCGGGAGGGGTTCAAAGGAAGGGGGGAACAAAACAACAAAACCCGAAACTTTCTTCTCCTGCCAAAATGCTTCCACAAATAGCTCCTTTAGCTCAGGGCTTGGAAGCCCCCGATAGCCTATCAGATTGGAAAGTTGAGGGCTCTGTTTGGGAACGTTGCCGTTTTTTTAAAATAGGATCCCAGGTCCCGTTTGGTGCGGGGCTGTTGGTAAAGTGGGCCCTGGCGCCCGGAATTTCTGCATTCTGGCATCCTACGGGAGAGAGTGCAGAATTGCCACATTGTCTAACGGATATAAAGATCGAAGTTTCTTTCCTTCTGAAAATCATTACCACATGCTGGAGGGAAAAACCGACTCCTTGTAGGGCAGCCTTTCATTTTTATCACTGTAAGCAGCACGCTCTCTTTTGATGTGGGTGTGCGTGTTCCCAGTCCTGTGGGTCGCGCTGAAGCTGCTGGACTGACACATCCCCAGCTCGGGGAGGGACTCTGCAGCCAACCCTGGGGCTGCCTAAGAGGGGGCTGGCTTTCAAGGCTTTTGAAATGTCTAGTCGCCAATCTTCCGAGGCTCCTCTGATAGCCCTGGGGCCCTTTGTGCTGTGGTCTGCTCTTTCTGCCCCCTTCCCAGCAAAACCACGCATCTTTGGTTTCCGGCGGAGGGTGGGGTGAGTGGGGGAGCACCCCCTATCCCGGCGTCCCAGTTCAGCTGGGCCTGTGAGACCCAGAACTCCCCCAGGGTAGAAACCTCAGACCCCTGAAGCCAGCATTGCCTGCTTTCCCTGTCAAGCACCCTTGAGTGTGTCTCTTCAGCTTGGCGGGTTTTGCTGTACCCTAATCAGCTCCAGGCACTTAGTGAGTGAGTGAGTGAGCGAGCGAGCGAGCGAGCGAGCGAGCGTGTGTCTCCTTCAGGACTCTGCACTTTGAATTTCAGATCATTGTTTCTGAAGTTCTAGAATTCGATTCCACATGTGGGCCCGGAGATGGTAGTTATCTGATGCTTTCTGGACACTTGAAAATGTAAAAAAACATTCCTGGCTCAGGGGTGATCCAGGCAGCAGGTCAGATGTGGTGTCCTGCTTAAGGACACCCAGAGCCTTGCCCTTAGTGGGTGGGTGCCGACACCCTCCCTTCAGGTCCCCACTCCCCTCCAGCAACATCCAGGGATGCAGACTTTCTGAATTTCTGTTCTTCAAAACTTTGCAACTTAACCTCCATTTCCCTCAACTACGTCTCCCGACAGTCCTTTGTGAATTCAACACACGGGAGCCTTTCTCAGCCTGTTTCCATTCTCAGCTCTCCCAGCTTCTGCGAGTTGTGAATTGTATCCGTTCACTTGCCCAGTTGGTGGGGACACATTGCCCTTGAGTTAGCCTAGAAACATGGCGCTCAGAGTCTCGGCTCTTTACAGGGGGGCTGGGAACCCACGCATGTTGTGATGTCGGCCTTTGCTGGGGTTTAGGTGGGACCCATGGACCATATGGGTGGGGAGCAGGTCAGGTTTGCATCAGCTGAGTTAAGGGAGGGGGGGGGGGGGGGGAGGTGCTAGTGGTTAACATGTAGGGTCAGGTCTGCCCAGAGGCACCTTGGAAGAAAGGCCTGGTGATCTACTTCCAAACAATTAACCATTGACTACCCAGTGGGAACCAATTCAACTGTCAGGCAGGGTCGCCTTGAGTTCCAGGCAACAGAGTTTACGTGGAGTGACTGCCTGGCACCCACAGCCCAGCGAGGCTTTCTTTTGCATTTATTCTGCAGTGCTTGGTCCACAGCGGGCTACAAAACCCACCTGGGTGGGTAAGGTTTCAGATGTGGGGAGGTCTCTGTGAAGCCGAGCTGGGCTGGCTCCCTCCAAAGCTTCCAGGGGAGCCTCCCTCAATCCCAGCTCGCTCAACCCGCTTCCCAAGAGCCGAAAATAAAACGTTTCTCTCCCTTCTTCCAGGACTACGTGGAGCTCACGCAGCCTCTCGAACCGTACTCACCTTGTTACCCTGACCCGAGATGAAATAAAACGTCTCTCTCCCTTCTTTCAGGACTACTTGGACCTCACCCAGCCTCTCGAACAGTATTCTCCTAGTTACCCCGACACAAGGAGCTCTTGTTCGTCAGGAGACGACTCCGTCTTCTCTGCAGACCCCATGCCTTATGATCCCTGCCTTCCTCCATGCCCACACGTAAACAGCAGTGTTCAAACATGAGCGGACCTGTCCTCCTGTCCCCACATGGGATGGCACTGGGAGCCACCTACACGGAGCAGGGAGGCCTTGCCTCCGCTTGTATATATGGATCAGAGGAGTAAATCATGGGCACGGTTGCCACCGTCATCCTCATCATCATCGTGCGTGTAAAGAGTTAGACAGTCAGTCGGGAACTCTGCCAGGCAACCTCCGCCCGGAAGAGAAGAATGTTCAGGGGACCCTGAACTGCCGTGGGCCCACCACGTGAGCCCTCTGCCCCGCCGCCCGCAGGCACTGGCCAGGGCCCGTGGGACTCCAGGCGAACACCAGTTCTGCCGTCCGTGTTAATTTTGTAAGAATTGGAGAAAATATATGTCAGCACATACTTTCAGAGCACAGATGCAGTATATAGGTGCTGGATGTATGTAAATATATTCAAATTATGTATAAATATATATTATATATTTACAATGAATTATTTTTTGTATTGATTTTAAATGGATGCCCCGATGCACCTAGAAAATTGGTCTCGCGCTTCTGTTTTTTTTTAAAAACCAGCTCTTTGCTTAATGCTGTTCTTACATGGAACTTCTTAATTTTCACCCAGCAGAGGTGGGAAGGAAAAAAGGAAAACAAAAAAACCAACTCTTTCTTTCAGGGAAAAATGATATAACATTAATTTATTAATGAATTGGTAATATACAAAACAATTAATCATTTATAGTGTTGTCGGTGGTTTTTAAAAAAATAATGATGTTAAGTGGCATTCCTATGCAGGCAGCACCAGGGCCTAGGGAATTGTTGCTCACACTGAACTAGTTGCCGGATCCTTTGAAAAGAGAGCCAGTGATAGTGCCTGGCCTATTTGGCAGGGTCAGGGTGGGGGTGGGGGGTGTGGTTCGGATATATTTGAGTTTGCCCATCCTGAAAGAGCCCTCTTCTGGGGAAGGTACTTTGTTTCCACAAGGTCTATCATGGGACCCAGGGATCGCTGAACTCCCCTTCCGGGACCAATGGGAGCCGCCAAGTCCTCTTAAGAAGATGCCTTAATCCATTCCTTGAGGACGGAAGTGAGTTGAGATGAGAGCGGGGTGCCCGGTGCTGGCAGCTGGCCCTCTGCCCCGACTTGCACGTTAATCAGATTAGTCCAGGTTCGTAGCAGTGACTAGTGGCGTCCAATCTTTTGTCCCTCGAGAAGCCTTTTAAGGGTCTTTAAGTCCCATGATTGGAAACTGAATGACCCACCCAGAGTCGTTCTACTGACAGCTTGGTGCCGGGGTGGGGTGCCCGCCCCTCTTTTCAAAGGATCATGTCTGTTGGATTCCTCCAGGGCCTCTCGGAAAGATCAGGCTGGATATCGATGGCCTCAGGCAAACCATTGCCGCCACGTTGTCTGTTCTGTATCCATGTACCTACTGTGTGTGGCTCCGAAACACCCACTCACCTTGCTGTAGCTGTGCAACGTGAATGCAGATACACTGACTTTACATGTTTCAGAAATTGGAGAAAGTATTTAATAAATCCTGTTAATTTTTATACTGACAATAAAATGTTTCTACCGATATTAATGTTAATAAGACAAAATAAATGTCACGCAGCTTATTTTTCTAATAAGTGTGTCTTACCCACTGGTGTCCTGTGCTTGGAGTTCTGGGTTCCTTGCTCTTCGGCGTGATGACGTGGGAGCCCCACCTGGGGAGATGCCCTAGCTTGCTGCAAAGACGGGAGGTGGACCAGAGGTCTTGGCTGGGGCCAGGTGTACCTGGGGCTGGTAGTCAGGTGGAAAATCAGAGGTTGGTCCGTTCCCTGGCTGGCTTGCCTATTAGAGCCTCAAGATGGTCATTTTAGTTCTCATCATTTCCATTCCAAGAAAGAAGAAGAGAGAAGACAGACTTTTGAACCCAAGCTACGCTCCCAGAACCTTCGGGAACCCTTGGCGGTTTAAAGGGCTGCCCTTGGGGCCTTTGGTGGCTGGGAGTGAGGGGCTCATAGGGGCCATCAGGAGGGTGGGCCGTCATCCTGGGGGTGCAGTTGTCCACTTGGGCTAACATTTCCTTACCAGGAGAGCAGGGCTGAAAGGGACCCTGTTGCCCAGCAGGCTGCTAACCACAAGGTTGCTGGTTCTAACCCACCTGCCACTCTGTCTGCTCTTGTAAAGAGTTAGAGTCTCTGAAACTCTAAGGACAGTTCTTGAGTCAGCCTTGACTTAGTGGCAATGGTTGACGAGCAGATCAGGCTATAATGCCACCCAAGAGAATATGATTGGAAACATAGGGGATATAAATGAGGTGAGACCCCTCAGGTAGAATTATGTGTCTCTTCCCTTTGTCGCAAAGTAGAGCAATGAATATCTAAGACACATTGAAACAAAGAGTCCAATGGACTCATAGTAGACCAACATCAGTCTCCATGGTCCCGAGACCAGAAGAACTACTAGGTGGTGCCTGACTATCTCTCCCAAGTACTGTGATCTAAATTAAGGAATCATAGTAGAAGGTACTAGACATAGTGTAGGAATGGAGATGTCGGATACAACTCAAAATCATAAAAGAAACCAAGCGTATTGATTCCAACTCAAAGACCTTTGGCTGCATGAGCATCTTAACAAAGTACAGATGCCATGCAAAGACCGAAAGTTCCAGTGCACCTCATTGTGCTCATGTGGGACCTGTACACAGACCAAAAGCAGTTGTTTGAGCTGCATGGTTTAAAATCAGGAGAGGCGTGCCCAGGGTGGTACCCTGTATACTGAGCAAATGAGCTGAGAAGCTGGGCTCCGTGAAGAAAACTTGGCAACAGGATGGAAGGAAGTCTCATGAGCAACTTGTGATATGCAGATGTACCACCAGGCTTGCTGAGAGCCAAGAGGACTTGAAGCACTTTCTGATGAAAACCAAAGAATACAGCCTTCAGCATGGATTCCCACTCACTGTGGAGAAATAAAAATTCTTACCACCGGACCGCTAGACAACATCAGGATAAACAGAGAAAAGGTAGAAGTTGTCAAAGATTTTATTTTACTTGGATCCACAAGCAATGCTTTTGGAAAAAGCAGTCAACAAATCAAACAACATATTGCGTTGGGGAAATCTGCACAAAACCTCCTTAAAGTGTTCAAGAGCAAAGACGTTACTTTGAGGATTAAGGTGTGCCTGACCCAAGTCATAACCTTTTCCGTTGACTCATACGTATGCGGTAGCTGGATAATGAAGAAGGAAAGCTACCAAATAATTGATACCTCTGAATTATGATGTTTCCCCTGCCCCTCCTCAAAAGGGGAAACTATCCTGGGCTTCTAGAATAAACCTATCTTGGAGAAAGTACAGTCAGAGGATTCCTTAGAAATAAGGATGAAGAGACTTTGTCTCACGTTTGGACACGTTGTCAGGAGAAACCTGTCCCTGGAGAAAGACATCATGCTTGGTAAATAAAGGGTCAATGTAAAAGGGGCAGACCCTGGGCGAGATGGACTCACACAGTGGCTGCAGCAATGGGCTCAAACAGAACAACTGGGAGCACAGTGCAGGATCAGGCAGTGTTTTGTTCTTCGGTCCAAGAGGTCACTGGGAGTCAGAACCAACTAACAGACTTTGTAGAACAGTGGTTCTCAACCTTCCTCATGCCGCCACCCCTTAGTACAGTTCTTCCTGATGTGGTGACCCCCAACCAGAAAATTATTTTCCTTGCTACTTCATCACTGTCATTTTGCTACTGTAATGAATCGGGCGACCCCTGTGAAAGGGTTGTTTGACCCCCAAAGGGGTCTCGACCTACAGGTTGAGAACCGCGGTTGTAGACTGATACTTAAGCACAGTAAACGGTGTGAAAGCCAGAACCGCGTACGGTAGAAACCCATCAGAGAAAGAAAAGGCAAATAGTGTCCGCCAAAGGAGTGACACAAAAGTGATACGATTGCACCTTCTCTGTCGTCGGCCGAGTCATATAGAGAAACAAAACCAGCGAAGCTTACTTATATGTGCATATCTAGAGAGACGTTTCTATCAAGAAAGTGGTTGTGGAAGTGGGCAAGTTCCCAATGAAGTCCTTGGTGGGTCAGCTATTAGGTTGGAGCTTCTCCTGACTCCTCTAGCTGCAGGAGCTGACGGCCCAAGATCAGCAGGTCAGAAGGCAGGCTGCTGATGACTCCCAAGATCAGTGGGCCATCTGGCTAGTCACGGGTGCAAGCTAAAGAACTAGAAGCAGGAGCGTGAGCCAGATACAAGATCCCGACCCAGCAAAAGGCAAGCAAGCTTCCCCACAACATCCATTCGTATTGGAAGCAGGCCACACCCCCAAGAAAACATCCTTTCAACTGCTTGCTGCTTCTTGGAGATTCCATTAAAGAGGTGACTGCATTGTGTTAGATCTCATCATGGGGGTTACTAGGTTACTTAGAATCCTGGCCCCGTCAAGCCACCACAAAACTGTCAATATTAGAAGCAGAAAACTTGGGAGGCTTGGGAAAATCAGGCTGCCTGGTCAAGTTCCGGCTCTCACAGGCTTAGAGGACCCCTTGGAGCATCACTGTAATGGGCCCAGCTGCTGCCCTTTGAAAATACGAGAGCTGAGAGGCTTCTGAGGAATCCTCTGTGGACGGAAATTGTTTCGATGGGATCAGTTTGATCTCTTTCCGCCTGGTGGAAAATAGCAGGAAGCATGATGTAAGAGAGGTAAAAATGTCCATGGCTGGGATCCCCAAATGCATTTCTGGCCCCCTACCTTCTATACCATAGAAAGCCTAGCGAGCTTGCACGCCACCCCCCACCCCCCCAGGGTGCTGTTCCTTATGCATGCGGGCTGCTCTTCTTGCCCCGCCTGTGTTCTGATGTTATTTATTTTTTGATGTTTTGGAAGATGAAAGCAGAGTTTATCTTCTCTCATATTTCATCCCCAGGAAGCTTAGAGATGACTTGGTGGGGCACCGCAGGCGGGGACAGCAGATGCTTCCCCCTTGTAAGTGACGTCCTCTAACAGGGCCTCTCTTAGGCCTCCCCGCTCCCCCCCACTCCCCCGGAGGTTTCCGGAGGTTTGGATGGGCTGCTCAGAATGGCTTCAGGTCCCATCCCAGGGTTACGGGAAGAAGGTACCCACTACAGCTCCAGCTGCCGAGACTTCCTCCCTGAAATAACTACGGCTGGTCCCTGCCAATCTGCAAGGTGGAAGCCTTGTGAGTGAGCTCAGGCTGAGCACAGACTAGCTGAAAATACCTAAGTGGGGAGGTGAGTTTTCCTTTGTGGCTAATAGGCTCCTTTGGGGACCAGAGCTTTTGACTCGGCATTTTCCTTGTAACCAGTTGTTCGAGGAAGGGCACTTAGCCACTTGTACTTGTCTCCGGGGCCGGTCAAAATCCATAGAGCAGCGTGTTTGGGAGAGAACCTCGGGGAGTTTCTAAATTAAGAAGAGTAAAGGGGGGAAATTGGCATTTTCTGTAAAAGGGTCCCTTCCTCAAATGATTCTTGTGAGGTTTAAATGGGACTTTATCTGGGAGTGCCAAGCACTCCCTACTCCAAGGCACTCACAGATTAACTGATCTCAAGGAGACTAGATACAGAGATGGAGGGACAGGGGTTGCAGCAATAGCTCAGACAGAACAGTAGCATCGATTTCAACTTGTGGTAACCCCAGGTGACACAGGAGACCGCCCCGTGGGGTTTTCAAAGCTGCCATCTTTACAGAAGGAGCCCTAATGGCGCAGCAGTTAAGCTCTTGACTGAAACGCTGGCTGGTGGTCTGAACCTGCTGGCAGGTCCTTGGGAGAAATAGGTGACCGTGAGCTTCCATAAAGATCTACAGCCGTAGGACCCCCTGGGGAAGCTCTACTCCGTGCTATGGGGTTGCTGTGAGCTGAACTTGACTTGAGGACAATGCGATTTTAGTTTTCA